AGAGGCTCAACTGTTCACAGTAATGATGTCTTCCAGCATTTTCCTCAATGTTGAAAACATTTGATCCTAGCACAGAATATGGTGTTAAATGAATGTGATTGCCAACAAAGTTTGCTGCTTCCAAACATTTATTTTTTCTGGGAGAAGCCTGTCCCATGAGGTTTTGATCAGAATTTATCACGGTCAGAATTAGGGTTCAGATCTCTCCACTAAGCAAAGTGAGTGTAACCTGGGAGGCCAAAGAACCATTATCCATGTTTCTTCACCAGAATTTGTGAATTTGAAGACACTTCAGAAGCACATATTTTTCTGCACATATTTTTCTGTCTGTAGCTCTGAATCTGTCAGTAGTCATAGCAGAAAATTGAAACTAGCTGTGATTCCTCTCTGACTTATGCTGCTGGTAATGACAAATAGCTTGAATTGATACAGTTATAAACAGAAGTGATGGGTGAACTGAAGTCTGGGTTCTGAAAGCCAGAAGCCTAGTTCAGGACACGTAGGTCTGATAGCTACATCTGTGAAAGACTGCTGGAGATGATGGAAGTGTAAGAGTCAATTTCAGCTGAAAGGAAAACTGTTACATTGAAATTCTGTATTTATATATTCTAGTGTGTATATAAATATATACTATCTTTTTTTCTTAGGTATCTTCTGATATGTTTTCACTAAATTCCGGTAGGTGAAACTATCTGCTAAAATTGTCTCTAGAGTGTCTGATTACAGTAAAAGCCTGATTGGTCCAAATGGATGACCAAAGGGAGAATCATTTCCAGTTCAGCACCTAGCATATTAGTCAGCATTTTAAAATCCAGGAAGAAATATGGGATGAGCAGAATGAATACCACCTATCTCACACCTCTGCTTTTCTGCTGTTTGAGAGCTCCCCACTGATGGAACTCAGAAGCTGTATAATCTATGAAGTGAGAGAAACAGCATCAGTGATCAAGTACCGATACACTCTGTAAAGATTTTAAAAATCTCAAAGAAAATGATCAGTATCTAATAATAACCTCACTGGCCTAATAATATTTCTGTAGTTATGCTCATATTGAAGGAAAAGGGAATACTCACAGTCATTCCAAGTCTGTGTCCCACTGCATTCAGTAACATTTTCACAATGGATGTTGCTAAGACCAGGATTGACACTCATAGTCATTTGTATGGAAAACATCTACCTGTGAGGCCAGGCTGACGTAGTGTGTAATAAATTCTCCAAGTCCCCTTTTAATTAATGAGTCTAACATGCATGTGGAGGTAATTGCATATAACACATTGTTTGTGTTCCATCAAATTAGACGGAGCCATTTCCATCTGAAAACAGGTTCCAAACATCTGCTTCTAGAGAACATTATTATTGTTTGTTTGTACAGGACTAACCATGTGCCAGCTGCTCTACCAGCAGAGAGGAGCCAGGTCCTGGCTTCAAAAAGTTTGCAAACTGAATAGACTGCTTGAGCACTAAGGGGGAGGAAGGGGAATGAAAGAGACCAGTGCTGTTGAGACAAAGAGTTTCCCTTGATCCCATCAGAGCTCTGACTTTTGCAGTGCTAGTAAAAGACCTCATTCATTGAATGTATACTGCCCCTACACAGGCTGAAGAATCCCCATCCTCATCCAAATTTAGTCACTTGAAGGAGAACCTAAACACGTTTGGTGTCCTCTAATTACTGGAGAGAGACAGGCACTTGCAAGGGATGATCCATTCTCTCCCAAAGAAGGGCAGGAAGGATAAGTTCAGGTTCCTTCTGTGGTCTTCTCTCCCCATTAGCATAGCAGGATCCTAATGGCTTTAATGAAACTCCCAACTTTCAAGTGGCTGACACTGGATGAAAGAAGCCCTACCCTGAAACCTCATCCTGTGAACAGTCCTCTTGCTCATTCCAGTTGCTGCTGTGTGTGTTTAAATGACTCTGAATCAAAGGCTAGAAGTGATCCTGTTGGGAATGGCCAGCAGATCACATCCCAGCACACACCACTTGTACTGTTGATACTCTATTCACTGTCTGCACGTGTGCTCTACATGGTGCTCCCACGTTCAGCCTGGCTGGAGAGGGTGGTCCTGGGGAGGGGTTCTGTTTGCATTGTGCTTCCAGCAGTATGATGGATCTCTGGAGCCTCCTATGTCACTATGGGCATCTGCCTCTGACACTTCTGGTGTGTGATCTTCTCCTGGGGCATGAATGTTTAGTGGAAGTGTGCCACTGGCATCCACAGAGGAGGCACAGCTCACATTGCACAGCAACACAGGGCAGAAAACATCACATGGAGAGAACATCAGAATAAACACATCTGGGACAAAACAGATATGAAATCAACATGTTGGAGTGCAGCCATACCCCAGTGGGAAAGGATTTTGGATGGAGCACAGAATAGGCTCCTAAATAAAAAACATTTCTAAAATAATCTGCATCTCTTGAGAAGGCAGCTAGCCATGCCTACAAGGGCTGCTGCCTTTTTGTTGAGTTTGCAGATGACAACAAACTGGGGGACCTGTTGGTCCCCTGGCAGGTGAGGGTGTAACTCAGATAGACCTAGGCAGGCTGGAGGAATGGACTGACAGATACTTTATGAACTTCAGCAAGAAATAGTGCCAAGTCCTGCCCCACGGATGGATGAGCTCTGCACAACAACACAGGCTGGGGCCAAGTGCCTGGGGAGCAGCTTCTGGGGAAGGTCCTGGAGGTTCTGATACTCAGTCAGAGGGACATGGGTCAGCAGCAAGTCTCTGCAACACCACTGGCCAAGAGCAGCCTGGGCTGTATGAACAGGGACAGAGTCAGAGGTGAAGGGGAGTCATTATCCCCCTCCACTCACTGGTTGTTAGACCACATCTGTGCATCCAGTATTGGAGGGACACCATTGAACCAGTTGTTGTTCAGGAGAGGCCCCTAAGGTGGTGGGGCTGAAGCACAGACCCTGTGAGGAGAGGCTGGGAGAGCCAGGCTTGTTCAGTCTGAGGTAAAGATGGTTTTGGGGAGGGGATGGACCTTACAGGACACCCCTGGGAAAGGGCATCACTGAGGGGATGGCACAGAATGGAAGGATGTGTCCCCATGAGGACAGTCAGTCAGGCTGCCCAGAGATGCTGTCCTTGAATAATTTCAAGACTCAACTAGTTGAAGCCCTGAGCAGCCTGATCTGACCTGAGAGCTGACCAGCTGGAAGCAGGAGGCTGGACCAGAGGCTGACCAGCTGGAGCTGTGACCATGCTATGTCTGACTTGATGGCCTCGAGTGACTGCTGCACAGAGCCATGATCTGTCCCCATGAGACACCAGCACACTGGGCAGGCTGCCCACCCTGGCCCATGATGGCCACATGTGTCTGGCTGAGACTCAGGAGGTTTGTGGTACACCAGGGGACTGAAATCCATGTGCACTGTGCAGGTATCTTCTGATAAAGGACAGCTTCATAACGAGGATGACCTTGGTTGGGAAAATTAATTTTTTGAATAGTTAAAGCAAAACTGAATGATACAAAATACCATCATGGGAAACCTTTGTTCTGCCACCCCACCTTTCTCCCTGAGAAACTGCAGTGACATTCAAGATTCAGCTGGTGAGAAGGAAATTAAACCTTTCAAAGTTTGATAATTCTGTTTTTCCAAATATTCTGACCTCCACATAGGGAAGTCTAGAGATATGACATGTCTCAGGTTGAGGGTGATTACAAAAATCTGCTGTCACTAGCCCATCAGCACATGCCCTGCATTGACTGTGGCTGCCTGTAGCATCTCTTCTGCACATTGTCAAGAGACATGCTGGCCAGGTTATGTGCTTGATTCACTGCACCAAGCACCTTTTTATCAGGGCACCTTTCTGCTAAGAGGCCAATTTCCCTCCTATATCCTCACCTTCTATATCCATGTCTACAGAAAGCCTGAGGAAGGAGATTTAACCTTCAAGGATCCTTGCTGTGCAAGGAATATACACAATTGTTTTCTAAAGCATGAAAAGCCAAGAGAGTTTGAATTTTCTTTCCAGGAACAGCTCAATAATAATTTGCTGCATTTATTTAAATACAAAAGACCATTTTCCTCACATTTTGGCTGACATATACCTTGGCAGTTTTCTTGAGTCTATTACTACATTACATGGTAAATATCAAACAGGTATTTGCAGGACAGGAGCAGTGAAGGACCAGCACACTGTGTTTTGCCAAGGACTGATGATGCTCCTGTCTGAAGTCAAATCATGGGGTTGGTTGTGGAAGTATTCATATATTAGTGACAAAAGTAATTTTTGAATTGGAGTTTAAAACCATTTTGAAGTTCAGTGTAACATCCAGAGAGCACCTGCAAATCTGCCTGAGAAAGACCTTTAATTCCTGGGTTTGTTATTCTCTAGGCAATGCTGGGAGGTGGGCGTTTTCCTGGCTCGTGTGAAGAGGGCTCAGCAGTTGCACATTGCCACTGTGTCAGATACATGTAAGCCAGGCCAGGTACTTCTAATGGAGGAAGAGAAAGTTACATAATCCACAGAGGAGAAATGTAGTTCTTTTCAAATTCTTTATTCTGAAAACTTGGCATGTAATGGAAATCAATGCTGCTGCTTTGGTATGAAAAGATGCAATCCCAGCTTGCTATGAAGAGTAGCTATGACAACTGAGTCATGACTTAAGGTGATGGTGAGTAAAGGCAATTCTTGTATGAGACTGTCCAATCACTTCTTTTGTGTACCCTTTCTCCATCAATTGTAATTTTTTTTTATTCTTATAGATTTTAATGTCTTTGTCTCTTTGCTTTGTTTTGTTTTCCATGGAGCCCAGCCAACCACATTTTGCTTCAATATCCTAAACTGGTGATTACTGTTTATGCTGCTGTAACTCAGAATATAATCTCGTATCTGTACACATTTTAGGACAAGAGGAAATAGCCTCAATTTTCTTCAGGGAGGGTTTAGATTGGATATTAGGAAAAATTGCTTCACTGAAAGGTTGGTCAAGCATTGGAACAGGCTGCTCAGAGCAATGGTGGAATCACTGTCCCTGGAAGTATTCAAAAGATGTGTGGATGTGGTTCTTAGGGACGTGGTTTAGTGGTGGACATGGAAGTGTTAGATTAATAGTTGAACTTGATGGTCTAAGAGGTCTCTTCCAACATTAATGATTCTATGATGCTATGCTTTGACTCTATTATTGCTTTTCAGTATTAAACACAGTGCAGTCTATTTAGCATTAAAGGCCATGTACTGTAGAACCCACTCAGCTCACTGATATATTACAGAAAATAATCAAACTCACACACTGAAACGTATCAAAACTCATGTGGAAGAAAAACCTTGCAGTGGAATGTTTGCCTTTGTCTAAACAAAACCTGCAGCCATTTATTTCTCTCTTGAAAGATCTCAGTGGAATGGACATATTTCATTGAAATGCCTCACTTCCAGGTGCTGCTTTCGGAAGAACACAATCTAAAACCAATCAAAAATGTTTTGAGCAGGTTCTCATGAAATATTAGAGGACCTTGCTGACATGTACAGAGGAACCTGGGTTAAAACCCCAGGTTCTAGCCACCATTGAAAAGGTCTGGCCTTATGCAGAACTGAAATAGGAGACCACATACACTGTCCCAACAGAGATAGGTTCGTCTAATTCCATGATGGGAAGTGGCCTTCCAAGTCAGGCAGTGAAATGGAGGCAACGTGCTGTGCACAGTGACAAACAATGACTTTTTTTGTCCTGCTGTGTTCCTACTTGAAGGCAAAATGCATTTGCCAGCTCAGATTGGGGCTGAGATTTTCTCCCTGTGACACAGCTTGGCACAGATGTTCAGGTGCATTATGAGGTGTGTTTTTACACCTCCTTATGCCAGAAGCAGGCAGCTAAACCAGATGAACCCCTGGTCTTTTTTGGTACAGCAATTTACATGTGAGCATGTGATTTGAAAAACAACATGTTGTGTCTTTAAGGCTCCCTAGTAAATGAAATAATTTGCTGTTCATGATGTATTTCTGTATTTTGTTGGAAGGGTGATTTTTTGCCAAATTATAAGTGTACAAATGCTAGCAATTCTGTCTTTGTAAGTGTCCCCGCTATAATAGATCTATGATTAAGAAGTTGCTAAATTATTTTAATGTTTATTTATGCTTTCTATCAATCATCTCTGGTCTGTATTTCTAGTCCATTCTTTCTTATGTTCAAACCAAACATAGATGACATAATTTGCACACATATCTTCAGTTATTATCTCGTTTTTTGGTGACTCACAATATCCTTTCAATGGCCACATAAATTTAATTCTGTATGCTTGTAAATAATTGTTCCCAGTAGATGTTGTTTCTTGAAATTCTGAATCAGTAGGGACTATAAATTCATTTCTGACCTTAAAATCAATGAAGCACCTCACATGTAGCTGGCATTTTCATCAGCTATTGCTGACCTTCTGTCATCTGTGCAGGCTCTTGTAGCTGTGCTTTGCTTGAGCTATTCTGGATTTCTGCTGCCACTCAAATGTAGGCTTAAAATAGAGTGAGTGTGGCTCTCTCAGTACTCTTCACTGTCTCTGATGGGACACCAAATCAGCCAAAGCTTTGAAGTGAATTTGAGTAGGCATTTCCATAAGGTAAGCACTCCATGAAAACCAGCCAGGACTTACCAGCTGAAATGAGTGACCAGTACCCCTTATTCAGGTTTCCTTTCATTTTTTTTACTTAGGCATTTTTTTTCAGTGTTTCTTCCTCAAAGGATAGTGCTAATAACACCAAGGTTGTGTGTTTTATCCCGGTATGGGCCATTCACTCAAGAGTTGGATTCAATGACCCCTGTGGCTCCCTTCCAACTCAGAGTATTGTCTGATTCTGTAACTCTGTAATTTGACCAGGTGCTAAAAGTCTAGGCCTGTCCTTCTCCTCACCTTCCACCTGCAGCTGAGCTACAGCCAAGCTATCCACAGCTGCTTTCTTACTTACCTGGGGAAAATGCATGGGGACTCTGATTACCTATCACTGACATGAAGGTTTTCAGGGCAGTACTATGTCAAGTGTAATAAAATGCTATGACGTTGCAATAAAAAATTTGCAATTATTTAATCATAGTGAATTTAAATTCAGCAGCCTGTCCTACCTATTAGTTTTGGTTCATTTATGTTCTTGGGGCCAGTTACAGATCTTTCAAAATACCTGGAGCTTTTGATGGAAAGTAGGTTACAGCTTAAGTGTTGGCATTCCAAAAGACATTAAGAAGGTGATATTTGTCAATCTTTTTCTTGTCTGAGTGGAACAGAAGAAACACATCACTATCTTTGCCAGGTCTGCTATTTTTTGTAGATCCTTGAATATGTTTCTGCACCACCACTATGAAGCCTACCAGCACTTACTAAAAACTTGCATGATGAGAGGAAGACATTTATATTGTATTCTTTTCTTTCCTTAGCAATTTTAGAACAAAACTCTTCAGCTTTCCTTTTGCCCAACTCCTAGATGCCATAAAATTTATTATAAAGCCAACTGATGCTTTTTCATTCAGCTTTTACAAGTAGAAAGGTTACATTTGCATCAAAGTACATTTGCATTTTCTTATTTACAGAACAAATATAACTATATATGAAGCAGAAATAGAAATGCCTTGTTGGCTATTAACCTCTTCTATAGGCGATACTTGAGGCTTTACTAAATATTTATTACTAAATAAATATGACTCAGAATTAAAGCTTGTGGAACGCTTGAAAAACAAAGACAGAATGCAGAAACATGGGTGGAAGCATACCTAATAGCAGAGTAAGAGTAAGAAAACACTTGTTTTTCATGTTTTGTAAAGCATTATTTGACTTTCTGTCTGCAGGATTCTGGATCTGACCCTTAAATCTCAGAAGTGGACCTCTAGCATGGAATTCAGTTTGATTTTATTTGTGTGCCTATTGCTGGTTTAGGTGCTGTGAGGTATCCAAGAGAATTTCATAGATACCCGGTAGATGGGTAGATAGGCCTGGTTGATATTACAGAGGACCTGTGAAAGGCACTTCTCTGCTGGGATTGCTGTTGGAGATGGGGCAATTAAGAGCAGCTCAAGACTCTTTTCTGTAGAGTCACACCCTGACAATACAGTCAGAGGATAGCCATGCATGTCCCTCTCTGTTTTATGGTGAGTTGAATATCTCTCTGGGTTCTGTGAGCAACTTGATTCTATCTCCACTCACAACAAAGGGAGCAGAGATACTGAGTGGGCATGTACACTTCTAAATTTAGCCATGCTAGTCTTTGAGCTGAATCCTACCTAAAGAGTTGAAAACATAGCTGTGCCAGAGCTGGTATATCAAAATTTCTGTTGTCAGTTTTCATCAGCCAGCACTGGAATGTCTTTCTTTGCTGTATGATTTTATCCAGAGCAGCAGGTGAAAAACATACCGTGGGTGTCTGCTAACTGCTGTCAATTCCTCATTTGTTCTCAGCAGGGATATGGCTGCTGCTGTTTGTTCTTTATTCTGGGTATCCACAGATAATGGTTTTTCTTCTTTCTCTCTCTCTTTCCCCTGCCTGTATCTCCAAACACAGAATCACAGAATCATAAAAACACATTGGTTAGAAAAGACCTTTAAGATCATCAAGTCCAACATTACCCCAGCACTGCCAAGCCCACCACTGAGCCATGTCCCTGAGTACCACACTTCAGCGTATCTCATCCTAAGAGATATTTAAAAGACCCCTTAAGCATCTTTTAAATATCTCCTGAGGTGGTGACTCCACCACCTCCCTGGACAACCCGTTTCAGTGTTTGTCAACCCTTTTGGTGTAGAAAATTTCCCTAGTATCTAGGCTAGACTTTCCCTGGTGCAACTTGAAGCTGTTTCCTCTTGTCCTGTCACTTGTTACCTATGAGGAGAGGCTGACCCCACCAGGCTACCCCCTCCTTTCAGGCAGCTGTAGAGTGATGAGGTCTCCCCTGAGCCTCCTTTTCTCCAGACCAAACACCCCCAGCTCCCTCAGCTGCTCCTCACAGCACTTGTGCTCCAGACCCTTCCCCAGCTCCGTTCCCTTCTCTGGACACGCTCCAGCCCCTCCATGTCTTTCTTGCAGGGAGGGGCCCAGAACTGAACACAGGATTGGAGCTGTGGCCTCAGCAGTGCCCAGTACAGGGGGACGGTCACTGCCCTGCTCCTGCTGGCCACACCATTGCTGAGCCAGGCCAGGATGCCACTGGCCTTCTTGGCCACCTGGGCACACCCTGGATCATGTTCAGCTGCTGTTGATCAGAACCCCCAGGACTTTCCCAGCCACTCTGCCCCCAGCCTGTAGTGCTATCTGGAGTTGTGTTAACCCAAGAGCAGGACAAAGAGCAGTCCTGTGAGGAGCAGCTGAGGGAGCTGGGGGTGTTTGGTCTGGAGAAAAGGAGGCTCAGGGGAGACCTCATCACTCTACAGCTGCCTGAAAGGAGGGGGTAGCCAGGTGGGGATCAGCCTCTTCTCATAGGTAGCAAGTGACAGGACAAGAGGAGACAGCTTCAAGTTGCACCAGGGAAAGTCTAGCCTAGATACTAGGGAAATTTTCTATACCAAAAGGGCTGACAAGTGCTGGAACAGGTCGGTCAGGGAGGTGATTGAGTCCTTGCTGAACCTCACACAATTGGCCTCTGCCCTCTGATCCAGCCTGTCCAGATCCCTCTGCAGAGCCTTCCTGCCCTCCAGCAGTTCAACTCTCCCCCTCAGCTTGGTGTCACCTGCAGAGTGAGGGGGCTCTTGATCCCCTTGTCCAGATCATTGGTGGACAAAACCAGAAACTCTTCTATTCTTGTTTCATGGAGCTTTTTGTTTACAGGGTGTAAAGATGCTCTTGACATCCTGGGAAGCATTTCAAGGTATTAAACAGAACTGGCTCCAGTATTGAGTGTGGAGAAGACCACTTGTGATACATACTTCTCTTTGACTCTGTTATACCCTCTTTATCATGTACATATATGGATAGTATTTTTTTAAGGTTACAATATATGTTAATAATTATCAAGTGCTCTTATTGATGTGGACTACTGTTTACCACCCCAAGCAGAGTGGAATACAGTGTCTTCAAATACCATTGGACTGCCAGGGAAAGATACTTACTGAAAAAGACCAGGTTTGTTAAAGAAAAGTGCATTGCAACATCTGACA